GTCACGTTATGTTAACTGGCTAAATCACACAACACATTGAACATGTACAGAGTTCCCCATGAACATAATACACACATTAACTCAACACACACCAAACACATCCTACACAGCTTCGTCTAATTCAAGCATTACATAAGTCCGTGTACAGATGTCAATGCCGGCAAACAGACCGTGTAATGCTACCTGCTCTGTGTGTGTGTGTGTGTGTGTGTTATGAGGGTACGTGCCCATAGTTCATAAATGATCATGGGTTAGCTCCGTGACAGTAATAGTCTTGTTTTGTTCTTTCTTTACTTCATATTTAACATTGTTCTGTAAACTATATACAGTGGGGTTTAGAAGTTCACTAGTGAACATTTTTTTGCATTTTTCTAATTTAATACTAATAAAAAAAATTTTATTACAATAATAATAATACAATAACATATATAGAAATGTTAATGAAGAAAACGGGTAAACCATATATGAGAAACATGATGCAAAATATACAGAAATTTATTTTTAATACATGTGTATGCTTTGATAATTTATCATTAGATTCTTGTTTTTATTATTGTTTAATCTGTTAGAATCTCCTGCTCTCAGCTCAGTATGACAAAAGAATTCCAAGAGTTTTCTTACTAACATTCGTTCGGTATCTCACTATTTTCACTATGGGAACGCCTCAGGCGTGACCGATCGCGGAAGCACCAATAACACCACGTCTGCCAACTATGGCAGACCAATTGCTGCAGCAATCAGGGAGTCCCGCCTCCCTGTATATAAACCGCAGCGACCTGCTGTTTCGTCATTCTCGCTCTCTTCCCCGTGAAGATTTTCAGAAGCTGGCTTAGCAGACTTTGGGAATTATTTGCTTAACAGTTTATAGTCGGAGCCGCAAGGTAACATCCCAAACGCAATACATTCCTAACGTTTGTTGAGCGACTTCACTTATTGTGAGATAACTAACGCATCAGGGCGAGTTTTCTGCTCTAAGTTTTAAATTTATTTTCCAAGTTTTTGGGGGCGCTCACCACGCACCAAAAAGAAGGAAAAGGAGAGCTCTCTATCGCAGCACAGCTCCGTACTAGTTGTCACATTGTGGTGGGCTTACTGTACGAAGAGAGTGCAGGCCCCATGGCCACTGCAAAAAAGCCGGAGAGCCCCGGAGGAAAAGGTCTTCCTCCCCATCCATGTGCTTGTGGAATGTGGATTTCTGCGAAGGATTCACATGGCCTCTGCATCTCCTGTTTGAGCGCTAAACACGCTCAGGCAGCTCTGTCCAACCCTGGCCAGCAGCTCGTGGGGAGAGATGATGGAGAGGGTGTCGTCCGTCCTTCCCCCCCTGTTTGAAGATCCGTTAGCGGGAGAGGAAGATAATTACTGGACGAAATATTGTCGGCCATCCTCGAGGACGAGGATGACGATGATGAAGATGCTATTCTTCCCGCAAATCAGTGCACAGGATATGAGTTCACCCTCCCCTGTACAGACGAACACGGATCTACTCGAGGTCTGTCGCAGGGCCGCGGCTAGACTATCGATCGACTGGCCATCCCAACCGGCGGGTCGGGGGCTGAAAGAGATTTGTATGATGGAAAGAGACTTCCGTCACGTCTCCCTCCAGCGAGGCAGTTTATTCCAGCCATCCCGGCTTGTGTGGCTGAAATGAAGAGGTTTTAGGACAAGCTTTTTCCCACCGTGTGCCCGTCAAGGGCTTCTCGAGGCTGGATGTTCAGGGAACGGAGGATTTGGGGCACAGGACTCACATTTTCACATAGATATTTTTCCTGCTCACAGGAAATATCTGAGGTTTGCTTATCAGGTCACAGCATACAGGTATACGAAAATACCTTTTGGCCTTGCTTTGGCTCCCAGGGTTTTTCAGCAGAGCTGTCTCAGCCACAGAGTGCGCGTCTCACCAGAATGCATGAGCGCTCTTCGTCATTGGAGAGCCCGTCTTTTCTCAGGACAGGATGCCCTCTGGGTCCTGTTATGTTAAGGAAAGTGGTGACACAACAGATGCATCTCTCACGGGCTGGGAGGCGGTGTTCGAGGGCAGAACAGTGAGAGGAGTTTGGTCTCCTGCACTGAGAGAGAAGCACATAAATTTTCTAGAACTACTAACAGTGTTACTAGCTCTGAGACATTTTGTGCATTTTCTCAAGAATCATCATGTATTGGTCAGGACGGACAATACAGCGGTGATAGCCTACATAAATCGGGGGAGTTCGTTCTCACAAGCTTCACTTGTTAGTGAAAGAACTGATTATGTGGAGCAGCAGGACCCTCCTGACGTTACGCACGACACATGTTCCAGGAATAATGAACAGGGGAGCGGATTTACTGTCCAGAGGGAATCCTCTGTAGTGGAGACTCCACCCCCAAGTGATCCTCATGGTGTGGCAGAGATTAAGGCATGTCATGTTGGTCTTAACGCAGGTACTATTGGCCAACACCCTCTCGTCTATCGATTTATGAGAGGGGCACGTAGGCTACACCCAGTATCGAAGCCGCTGGTCCAGCCTTGGGAGTTGTCCGTAGTTCTTAACACGCTCTCAAAAGCCCCTTTCGAACCCACTGATAATATTGCCTTAAAGCTGCTCGCTTTTAAGACAGCTCTGTTACTTGCGCTCACTACAGCAGAAAGGGTGAGTGAGCTACATACTTTATCAGTTCACTCCTCATGTATGATGTTCGCTCCAGGGGGGGTCGAAAATGTACTTTTAGACCTAACCCGGCGTTTGTGCCTAAAGTGTTTGATTATGCTGGTGCAGTTCAATCAGTGGACCTGCTAGCTTTTCATCCACCACCTTTTTCATCCCCAGAGAAGGAGAGGTTACACAGTTTATGTCCGGTTCGTGCTCTGTATATGTACGTTAAGAGAACTCGCACACTTCGTAAGAGCTATTTGTCTCGTGGGCTGACTCTTACAAAGAAAAACCTCTTTCTCTTACAAAGAAAAATCTCCCGTCAACGCCTTTCCCACTGGGTAGTGGAGACTATCGTGTTATGTTACAACAATGTGAATATAGAGCCCCCAATAGGATTACGAGCACACTCTACTAGAGGTATGTCTACATCCTGGGCTCTGTTTAGAGGCATTTCTATTCAAGAAATTTGCGCGGCAGCCAGCTGGTCTTCTCCGCACTACTAACAGTGTTACTAGCTCTGAGACATTTTGTGCATTTTCTCAAGAATCATCATGTATTGGTCAGGACGGACAATACAGCGGTGATAGCCTACATAAATCGGGGGAGTTCGTTCTCACAAGCTTCACTTGTTAGTGAAAGAACTGATTATGTGGAGCAGCAGGACCCTCCTGACGTTACGCACGACACATGTTCCAGGAATAATGAACAGGGGAGCGGATTTACTGTCCAGAGGGAATCCTCTGTAGTGGAGACTCCACCCCCAAGTGATCCTCATGGTGTGGCAGAGATTAAGGCATGTCATGTTGGTCTTAACGCAGGTACTATTGGCCAACACCCTCTCGTCTATCGATTTATGAGAGGGGCACGTAGGCTACACCCAGTATCGAAGCCGCTGGTCCAGCCTTGGGAGTTGTCCGTAGTTCTTAACACGCTCTCAAAAGCCCCTTTCGAACCCACTGATAATATTGCCTTAAAGCTGCTCGCTTTTAAGACAGCTCTGTTACTTGCGCTCACTACAGCAGAAAGGGTGAGTGAGCTACATACTTTATCAGTTCACTCCTCATGTATGATGTTCGCTCCAGGGGGGGTCGAAAATGTACTTTTAGACCTAACCCGGCGTTTGTGCCTAAAGTGTTTGATTATGCTGGTGCAGTTCAATCAGTGGACCTGCTAGCTTTTCATCCACCACCTTTTTCATCCCCAGAGAAGGAGAGGTTACACAGTTTATGTCCGGTTCGTGCTCTGTATATGTACGTTAAGAGAACTCGCACACTTCGTAAGAGCTATTTGTCTCGTGGGCTGACTCTTACAAAGAAAAACCTCTTTCTCTTACAAAGAAAAATCTCCCGTCAACGCCTTTCCCACTGGGTAGTGGAGACTATCGTGTTATGTTACAACAATGTGAATATAGAGCCCCCAATAGGATTACGAGCACACTCTACTAGAGGTATGTCTACATCCTGGGCTCTGTTTAGAGGCATTTCTATTCAAGAAATTTGCGCGGCAGCCAGCTGGTCTTCTCCGCACACATTTGCTCGTTTCTATTGACTGGATGTGACAGAACCCTCTCTGGCCCACTCAGTCCTGGGAGTGAGTAGTCAGGGTGAATAATGCAGGTTATTAAGGGGCAAATTCCTCATATTATTCTGTTTTCACCTCCGTTGGGAGTTATGACTCAGATAATAACCTACTCTTTCTTTAGTCTGCTTCGTCAGCATATCGGCAATACGGGAGTTGTCTATATCCCATAATGAGATACCGAACAAATGTTAGAAAGAGAACGTTAGGTTACTGACGTAACCCCGGTTCTCTGATAACATGAAGTGAGGTATCTCACAAACATTGCCCTCCTTGCCTTTACTGCACGGAGAAGAGATATGCGGAGAATGACGAAACGGCAGGTAGCTGCGGTTTATATACAGGGAGGCGGAACTCCCTGATCGCTGCAGCGATTGGTCTGAAATAATTGGCAGACGTGTTATTGGTGCTTCCGCAATTGGTCACACCTGAGGTGTTCCCATAGTGAGATACCTCACTTCATGTTATCAGAGAACCGGGGTTACGTCAGTAACCTAACGATTGTCGTTCCTGAAACTAGAGAGAAGTCTGGTAATATTTAAATTTATTGTCCAAACAAATACTGCCACGGTCACGCCTGAGGCGTTCCCATAGTGAAAATAGTGAGATACCTCACTTCATGTTATCAGAGGTTCTGGGGTTACCGGGGTTACATCAGTAACCTAACATTTTAGAATGTAGCGCGGGACTATAAAGACTTGAACTCAGCTGCTCACTTTGTGGCAAGCAAGGAGTAGTTATCATCAGCGGTGTTTACAGTTGTTGATAGCGTTTTTATCGTGTGTTGAATATGGGACAGCGACTTTCTCGCAAAAAAAAGGCGGAGGAAGAAGGTGATGAGTGTATGCATGAGATCAATCCCCATACACCAGTTACACCCACCGACCACAAGGCGGAGGTCCATCCTCGTCCTGACGAGACGCCTGTGGGTATTGGTGAGGGAGGAGGCGGGCAGGAGAAAGGGCGAGAGAAAACAAAGAAAAAGAGGAGGTTCCGGAGGTTTGCCTCTTTCTGTTGTTTGTCTCGCCCCAAATCCACCAGAGCTCAGGATGAGCAGGTGGAGCAGGGTGAAGTGGACCAGGACGCTGACGCCAGACCATCCATTAGGTGTTCTAATGGTAAATTACATGTTTTCATCACCAGAGCTCTGTACATCCAAAAAAAGTCTCTTAATCATTTACACACAATATTACGCACAATATTAAAAAACACAACACCCATTACACATCACAAAAAACTGCTTTCTTATGCTTTATTTGTTGTAATATAGATGAAATAGTGTAAAGACTTTTCCAAACTAGCCAAAAGTACCCCTAAGTGAAGAATGAATATGTGTATGCAATATTAATTTTATATTATTTTGGTTGATATTCCTCATTTCCTCTCTTTAGATCAGACTTCTCTACAGGACATTGTCTGTACTGTAAAGGACAATGATCATCAGGAGGCTCCTTCCAGTAGTCCTGAAGTCTACACAAGTGCTGAGGACCAGCAAATGGAAGACGACGAGCCTCAAGATCAGGACAGTCCAGTTACTCTGTCAGCAGGTGTGAATGCATCACATCTGCCGAGACAGCTGGACTGTAATGAGATCACGAGGATCGAGGGTGAGTTTACTGTCAAAATCCAAAGTATAATAATTATATGATAATTACAAGCCATGTTAAAATAGTTTTACAATAAGTATAGCATGATGTCACACTGCAGAACACTGCTTTATTAAATAATAAAAAATAAAAATAACTATAATTATGTTTTAATAGACCACATTTGCTGGAAATATGCCATCGGCAGGAAGATGGGGGAAGGAGGATTCGGCTCCGTCTTTGAGGGGACCCGGTGCGAGGACGGCCTTCTGGTGGCTGTGAAATTTGCAGCCAAGATGGAGAATGTGCCGTACATCAGCCTTGTAAGTAGACTGCGCTCTCTGTGTCATCTCCACTCAGTCACTGTTTGCATTTATAACGTCTTAAAGAGCAAATATTTCAATAGACTAAATCCATATTTGAGAAAGCACTTCCATCTAACCATCATAAAAACTGTCCTTCTTCTAGCCTGATCATCCCAGTCTAGTTCCTCTTGAGGTGGCCCTGACAATCATGGCCAATCAAGGCCCCAGCTGTTGCCAAATCATAGAGTTGCTGGACTGGCAGGACAATCCAGACCAGTATATCATGTTCCTAGAGCGGCCCTCACCCTGTGTCAACATGCACCTTTTTTGGCAGTATCACGGCAACCTCTTTAGTGAGGAGTTAGCACGTCATTTCATGTGGCAGGTGATTGACGCTGCTGCCGTGTGCTGTTCCCGGGGGGTGTTCCACCGGGACATCAACATGCCAAATCTCCTCGTCAACACAGAGACCCTGGAGGTCAAAATGATTGATTTCGGGTATGGGGACCTCCTGAAAAGCTCTTCTTACAACACCTACTCTGGTATGGATTACCTTTTAAACATGTAGTTTGGGACTTAAACGCTTGTGACCAGTTACACGGTGTCTTAATCAGAAGTGACACAAAATTAAATGCCATTTCATTCAGAGTAACATGTGACAAACTCTTGCCTTCAGGGACAGCGATGTACTGCCCTCCCGAGTACTTTGAGAAGGGCGAGTACCATGGGAAGGAGGCAACAGTGTGGTCGCTGGGCGTGCTGCTGTTTGCCATGATCGCCAGCCTTTTCCCGAACAGCGGCGATATCGGCTTGATGGACGCTGATGTCTGGTTCCACTCGGGCTTCTCAGATGGTGTGAAATTCATTGCAGCAAAGAAGGACAACTGACATTCTTAATCATATAAAACAGAAAAACAGTGGCTTCATAAAAGATGGCCTAAAGGATATTGCGGGAATCTTTCAGAGTTTAGAAAGCAGGTGTGAAGTTGAAGGTAATACATCTTTCACATCTTTCTGCACAGAATGCTGCCATTTCATTTGAGGTTGCCTGAAGAGCAACCCAGAACAGAGGCTTTATTTGGAGGAGATGCTGTTCCATGACTGGTTCGAGGTACCAAGTCTAAGATAAGCTCAAATGTATATACTGACATTTGGTTGTTTGTTTGTTTATTTTTTGCCTGTTTGTTGGTTTGGTTTGATTCTCTCAATATGGACATCAGCTTCCTCTTGTTACTATTCAGTACCTGCTGCAACAATATGGTCAGTGCTCATACATTCTGTTTCAGGTCCCCCTATAAGTCATGAAAAAGAGGGTCAGCCTTGCATCAGGCAGGCTGACACATGTGGCCCCTCCATCCCTCCAGCCTTAGCGTTTTGCTGGGCTGGCAAGCCTTGGTTGCATCTGGCACCTTGGCTTGCGGTGGTAGTTTTTGCACCTTGTGGAACTACAGTACTTGCTTAGGAATGTGTACATATTGTAAATAGTTCGTTTAGTTTTAGTTAGTTAAGTTAGACCCTCCGTCCCTCCAGCCTTTGCGTCTTGCAGGGCTGGCAAGCCTTGGTTGCGTCTGGCTCCTTAGCTTGAGGTGGAAGTTTTTGCAAGGCCCCACAGAGGATGAAAGTCTCAGGATGCCCTTTTCATAGCTTCACTGGTCCCAGAGGTCCCTCACATTGACGCTCCAAAAGTTCCTGCCACAAGCAACCGGGTCCCAAAAATCCTGTCAGGGGCCCTCCAGAAGTCACAGCGTAGGCATCCCTAAAGGTTCCTAAACCTGCTGAGGTCAGAGAAGTCATGTAACAGGTCCCTGTCCCAGCCTGCTACAGCTCTAGAGCTCTGTGTCATAGCAGCTCCAGTCGCACAGCTTCCCAGTGGTTCCTGACAAAACCGACCAGGTCACACTAATGCACGTCACTGATGCACAAAGTTTCCTCTCATGATGGTACAGAGATTCATGACACGTCTGCCAAGGAAATTGCAGCAAAGTCTGGCCCAGTGTTTCCTGTCATAGCCTCAGTCAGAGCTTGTGTCCAGGGCTGCTCCAGTCCCAGAGCTCCTCTCTCAACCTCACTGGTCCCAGAGGTTCTTGCTAATGCTAGGGGGTTCGGTCTCTAAGGCATCATGGGATCTTCTCACAGCCCTAGTGTTTCCTCTCACCGGTGTGATTCCTCTATATTACACCTGTGTGCCGCATTAAAAACATAATGTGAAAATAAATAAATTTATCACTTTGTATGTTCATTTGAATAATACTCTCACCAGGTAAGTAATTCAAAGGGGAGTTACACTATGGGCCCCTTCGTTTACTGTTTGAAGTCCAAGGTATCAGCATGTAATTTGGCTGCAGACAGGGTCCAAGAAATAAAAATGGCCTTTGGGGGGAAATAAAACTGCCAATACCTTAATAATAAACTACAACAAAATTTGTGATTTAAATTAAACTGTAAGAATTTAGAAAATAAGAGTTAAGTGTCATGAGCAATTAAAATGAAAGACAAAAAAAAGTGTACCATCAGAAGGCATGTAACAATCAATTTTTGTAACATCAAGGAGTTTGCAGATTGTCTTAACGTTAAAATAAATTAATGTATATAAATTAATCCTGTTGCCTTTATGTAATATTGCCACTGTAAAAAAAAATAAAAAAGCAAAGATTCATTTTAAATGAGGGAGAATGGAATAAAATCTGATTTTGAAAAAGGAAATTAGAACAGTCCAAAAGAATGAAGTCGGAACAAAGTCACTATTGTTCACTTCTCTACCAGTCTTCCTACTATTTTGCTGTTATTTATTATTATAGTGTTAACACAACTCACTCAGGTTAATGGTTCAACTGGCTGTAATTTTAAATAAAGGTTTTTTTTGTTTTTTTTTTACATTAACTGGGTCTGGATTTATTTCAAATGCAAAATCTCTAGAAGTAGTCTGTCTCCAACCTTAAAGCTAACATTTTTACAAAACTTATTTAAACAAATATTCACTGCAGTACAATACAGTATAACAATGTGCCTTCAGACAGTACAGTGGTTGTTTTTTAGCATTTCTTTCTACATGTCTAAATCTTAATACAGTGCATTAATAAATGTATATTTATGCACATTTTAATTTTAGAGAAATGTAGATAAAAAGAGAGAGACTGCAAGAAAACAACAAGCATGGACCTTTGTCAGGAAGTATAAAGGTCTGAAGAGTAAATAGCTTTTGTGCAGTAAATGTCTTGATTGTAGACACAAGTGTAAATGGGTGTTGGGCCGAATGTGACCATCAGATTCTCTGATGCTGGGGAACAGTCTTTGGATTAGTGGCATAACATAGTATGAGTACAACTAATATTAGTACTGTACCCACTAATAGTTCAAATAAAAAAAGATCCATTAAATTCTAGACCCACATAAAAAGTAATGCAGAGACCCTCCATCACAAAGTGTTAAGATACCAGGAGCTGACTGCTGAGAGAAGCCCCCTGGCCTAAAGTCAGCGATGTAATAACATAAATGTCCCATTAGGTGTCACTAACACGGTTCGCAATAGTCATAGCATTAAACGGCAGAAGCAGAGCAAAAGAGTAGAAGAAACACGCGAGTTAATGCTATGTTGTTGACTGTGATGAACTAAAATACTTTAAAACTACTTTTAAAATTAATGCAATAAATGACAATTATACAGCTTTTTTAGAAGAAATCTGTAAATCTGCAAATAGGTCATATGTTCTCAGTTAAATTACGTGATGAGAAAAAGCACAACATAATTCAGCTGATGTTATTGCATTGTACAGATTAACATTAAAGTAAACACTATTACATGCATAATGTCGGAGTCCACGACCCCAGGAAAAAAGGGCAATTTGACCGGAAGTGCCAGGAAATTAAAGGACGATGCCGCAGATTGGCATAATCTCATCCTGAAATGGGAGCGATTAAATAACGAGGGATCCACAATTGCGACTAAAATTGTTAATCTGGGATTGAGCAAAAAGTACGTTTAATGTGTTAAACAATAAATATAAATTATATAAATAAATTATACTGTATAGTAACATTATAATGCGTTTATATATTCATTTGTGTGTGTGTGTGTGTGTGTGTGTGTGTGTGAGCAATCTGCCTGCTCTTTACACCTGTAACCTGTTTTCTCCATCGTGTCTGTTCCCAGATCAGATATTGAGCCTGACGTTGTGATGGAAGGAGGCAGTTTGGCAGCTGGAGACTTTTCAGAGAATCTGAAACAGAGCAACCAAGAGCTGGAAGAAGAATGTGTCGAGTTACAAGACCTTGTGGATAAAATGTTAACTTTTTGCAGAACGAGCATTAGCAATACTTTTTTATGTAGTCTAAAATGTTTCGCCAAAGGCAAACATACTGTCAAAGATGGAGAAGGTGGTCCATGCTGAGCGTGGCATCTGTGAGTTCGAAGCATTCCGGTTTGGAGAGAAAGGAAGAGCAGCACCACTTTCACACGTGGTCCACACATCAGTTTGGTAAGAGGAATAGAACAAATGTTCAATCACATACCAAACTATCCCATTCTCTGTTCATTTGATCTGTGATCTGTATGTCCAAAGTTTACTTTAATAAAATTGGTTTACTTCTAAATTTATATGTATGTGTTTGTGTGTGTGTATATATATATATATATACACAAACTAATTTAGTGTGAAGCAATCATCTGCTTTCTTTGCAAATGTGACCCCTTAAAGGAATAGTTCACCCAAAAATGACAAATTGCCACTCAGGCCATCCAAGATGTAAAGTAGTTTGTTTCTTCATTGTAACAGATTTGGAGAAATTTGGCATCACTTGCTCATTAATGGGTCCTCTGAATGGGTACCGTTAGAATGAGAATCCAGACAGCTGAAAAAACACTTTTCTCTATTCACTAAACAAGACATTAATTAATCAACTGGAGTCTGGATTACTTGTTAATTATTGTGACGTTTTTATCAGCTGTTCGAACACATTCTGACGGCACCCATTCACAGAGGATCAGATTGATTGCAGAGTGAGCAAATGGTGAGCAAGTGATGTAATGCGAAATTTCTCCAAATCTGTTCTGATGAAGAAACAAACTCATCTGCATCATGAATGGCCTGAGGGTGTGTAAATGTATTGCAAGTTTTCATATACATGTATGACAACCATAATATGTATAATCATATTATTAAAAAAAAAAAACTGGTACCTGAAATACATGAAAGCCCTGTTATCTCAATTTAAAAAAATTTAAATGTCAATGTCCCATAATCACTCATGCTCTGTGTTATTGATCTTTGTCACCTTCGTGACAGTTGAAGTATCTTCCAAGCTTTACGAGTCATACAAGCAGGAGTTGGCGCTGAAGAAGACTATACTGCGAGAATTGGCCCACACGGCTAATGCTGACCTTTCCATGGTCTACCTGTCATCGTGGCTGTATCAACCCTACATTGAGGACAGTGGAAAACTGCTACTAGAGTTTGCTATTGGAAACGGGTCACAGACCTTTGTGATTCAGTCTGGAGTCTATGCATGAGGACTATGTAAACAAATTAAAAGCATATCATGACATGTATATAGCTTTGATGTAATGTTTAACCTTCAAATTTATTTCTCGAAAATATGCTATTTTTATAACTGTATTACTGCCTTGTAAGCAGTCTGGTACCATACAAAGTCTTAACTCCATAAACTCACTCACAAAAGTTTTAATGTCATATTCGAACATGTCCCTTTGTATTAAAAATGCGGAGATGTTTCAAAAACACAGTAAACCAGATATTATATAAAAAGTAATAAAATAGTGCAACAACTTTTCAAATGACTTTTGCACTACACAAACTACTAAATAACAGAAACAATGGAACATCTGAGGCTGCGGTCTAAGATTATAAGCACCTCAAGTTTTCTCAGTTTGTTTTACAAATCTAGAGCGCTTTCTTACTGCACCGAGTGGCCAGTTATCAAAACCAAAACATCCCCTATGCATAAGACATCTCAAAATATGTTTTTAGGTCAGACTTCTAGGGATCAACCATTTTCAGCCTTAAGATAAGGGTTAATTTTCAAACGAACAAACAAACGTCCAAAAGTGTTTGAATAAATAAAATGTCATGGGGTACCAATTTAAACTGTATTATAACTACAGCCTGGCTTGCTAACATAAAGGAACAGTTTATATACAGA